GAACTCAACACCTTTTTTGTTTAGTTTTTGGAAGATAATTTGAAAATGTCAAATAATAAATAGTATGAAGTGTTATTTTAAAGAATAATGATTCATCGAAAATGATTGTCTATATTTAAGACACCTATTGATGTTTCTTAAATAATTTTTAACTAAATTTTTTGAATTTGTAGTATTACTGATAATGCATCTTCATGAGCTCTGTCATAGAAGATATTGAAAAATAATTTGGCTAGAATAAAAAATTTGCAATTATTATGATATGTCACATAATTAATTAGAACCTCTTTGAGAATTAAAATTATTAAAGTTATAGATATTTTATGCTTGATTCTCTTTGAGGACACTATTTATAATTTGAATTGTAATTTTTTATGGATCAATGTAAATAACTCTTACGATCTTATTGATATAAGCATAAATCCTACTTTTAAGTCAAACCACCTTAAGCACTTTTTTATGTAATAAAATACTTAAATATTATCATATAAAAGTATTATAATAGATCATAATTAAACACCACTTGAAGCATAATTAAAGACCCAATGTAACACTTTAGACATAACCAAAAAACATAAGAAATTAGCAACTACTTTTTCAATTAATAACCAAAATAATACACCGTGAGTTATAACCAAGTCATAATTTGTATTTTATAGAATTTCCCATTGTTTTTATTTTTTTTCAAATATATATATATATATATATTTTTTTTTTTTTTTTTGATACAAGTGGAATTCATGATTTTTGGTAAATGTTATTAATACAAATGAGGATTTGATTTCAAGTTGAGAATATACTTTTAATTTTTTTTTTTAATTTTGAAAGAAATTAGTTTTATAACTCTTTACATTAAACGTTAGGCAAAGGTAATAATTGAAGAAATTATGTTGTTGTAGTGATCTTTTTTTAAAATAAAAATTGCAATTTACTTGTTTGAAATTATCTTAGCCTTCTATAATTATTATCAAGTTGCAAGGTTAACCTTTTGTTGTTATGTACGTTGACGTAAAAAAGCATTTACGGTGTTTGCAGTTAAACGCCGTGTGTGCGCATGCCAAATGGACATTTTTTTGAGAGCTTTCTTGATAAGTCCTCAATCAAAGAATTTTATTCCATCCAGTCTATATTCTTTTTAACTATTCCATTAGATCATATTTGAGGTAAGAAAACTAAAGCACCCACAATCTATCTTGCCCCCTATTAATGTTAATATTTAATGTTGATTGTCATTATATTTTGATAGTTCTCATGCATCAGGATGTTGACTGTCATTGTATTCATATTAATTTGAAATGAATTTTTGTTAATGTGTTGTCAATTATATGATGTGAATATTCACATCATGTAATTGAAATGAATATTCACATCATAATATTCAAATTGATTTGAAATGAATTTTTGTCATTGTGTTGTCTATTACATGATGTGAATATTCATACTAAAACATACGAATGTGAATGTTCACATCACTACATTAGATGAGAAAGAATGTTCACATATTGTGAACGTTCACATCACTACATGTTGTGAATAAGAATGTGTTGTCAATTAAAAATATAATGAACGTTATTTTTAATGTGTTGTCAATTAAAAATAGGAAAATTCACGTGTAAATGTTCACATTACTACATTAGATGAGAGAGAATTTTCGGAAAGTGTTGTGAACGTTCACATCAGATGAGAGAGAATGTTCACATTATTTTTAATATATTGTCAATTAAAAATATATTCAAATTATATAATAATATAAAATAATAATATTAATGTTATTTAATTTGTGTATAAAATTTCTTATGCCTTGGTCCTTTCCTTTCTCTCTCCTCTTCCCAACATTAAATATTAATATTAAATATAAGGGCATAAGAGTTTAAGAAAATAGAATTGGGGTCACTGTTGTGCCTCATTTTGAGGTGCATTATCGGCTTATTTTTATGATCTGAACCGTTCATTTTGTGGGATTTGTTGATTACTTCAAGCTTACCAAAAATCATATAAATCGGATATCAATAACTATATGATCGAATTGCATATTTTTATACTATTTTTCAAAAGAAAAACTTCTTGTTTATTTTTTTGGTTATCAATCATATAGTTATTGATATCCGATTAATATTATTTTTGGTAGGCATAAAGTACTCAACAAACCCTACAATATGAACGGTTTAAATTATAAAAAATAAATCCATAAGCCAACTAGGTTTAGCCTAGTTGGCTACCATGCCTTCCTTAGGGCTTAGTCCCAAGGAGGTCATAGGTTCAATTCCCCTTAGAGGGGTTGAATTAAGGGAGTGCTAGCATTTAGGTGCTTTGCCAAGGGTGGGGAGATCTTCTCCCATAGGTGCTAATCTAACAACTAACAGCTAACATTTGCCGATCAAAAAAAAAAAATCCATAATGCAGTGCTAATCTAACAACTAACAGCTAACATTTGCCGATCAAAAAAATAAAAAATCCATAATGCACCACAAAATGAGGCACAGCAGTGATCCCAATTCCTAAGAAAATAGTGTAAATCAACAAAAATGACCTTATGGAATAAAAGTATAAATATATGGGACTAAGTGGGTTAAAAAATTCATTCATGGATTTCTTAGGTTAGAACACTTCTATATGTGATTTATTAATAAAAATTCCTTTTTTTTTTTTTGATAATTCATATAACGGTTGTTATTAATAGCAATGTGACACTGCAATTTAATCATAAAGTTTTAAAATTAATTGTTGCAATTAAAAAAATTAAGAACCATTGTAAAATTTAGAGTAAAGTGCAAAAGTGCAAAAGTGCAAAAGTGCAAAAGTGCAAAATGGATTAAAAAAAAAAAATTTCTTGACAAAAAAACACAGGTCAAGTTGCCAATATGTATAAATCATCTTTTTTTTTTTTTTTTTGGACGAGAAAAAAAAAAAACTTTCTTAACCCCTCTTAGGCAAGGGAATATCAATTTTCAAATTTGTTAAATTAAGCACAATGGCAGAAATCAATAATGCTACATATACAAAAAAAAATCAATGTACGAAACAAATTCATTCTCAATTCAATTTGTATGATTTTTTTATTTGTTTATTTTATTTTATTTTTTTTATTTTTTTTTCTGTTGCACCAAGTATTGCTGGACTGGAATAACCCTCAAGAGATAGTCACATAAATGGTTCAAAAAAAAGAAGAGTAAATAAAATAAGAGTGTGTCACAAGACAACAAACACTAACAATCTCCCAACACTGTCATGTTACAAACTTTGCTCATGCTTCAAGCAATGTTGGGCTATTTTTTGGTAGATTGCTTGCATAATCATCAAGTTCATTAATTGGGAACTGCCATCTATCAAGTTGAGGAAAAAAGACAAAAAATATATAAAAATTCAGAACCTTTATACAGTTCACTGCATTTAAAAGGAAAGGATTAGGCAAAAATAATAAATCGTCTCATTTCTTGTTTGTGTGTTGAGTTGTTGCGGGAAAATGTGGTCTCGCCATAACTGTTTTCTCGAAACAAACATTTTCCCTTTAATTGTTTTCAGTATAAAAAAAAAAGTACATAGTTATTGTGGGTAGTGAAATATAACCTTACAACCAGATCAGATAGATAGGTCCAACACCTGCAGAGACAAACAAGTAACAGACCTGGTGGCTTGTACACCCGAAAGCACTCTGAAATTCAAGTCAGCCAAAAAATCTCACAAAGACAAACAACTCAAGTGTATAACTCAATAAAAAAACGTACATTAGATCTATGGTGTGTCTTCCTTATATAATGATTAGTGTTATACGAGTACGAAATAATCGTCACTTGTATAATTCTGTTGAACAAGTTTGTGTTCCTTCAAACACTGTCGGAATACCTGAAATCACAAATGTGAGTTAGCTGGCGGATGTATGCCAAAAGCCCCTTCGATACTTAAGTCAACAAATAGACTAATAAGGAGTAAAAGCTCTGTGAATTCGAGAGTAATAATTGCAATACCTAGAATTAGGGTTTGATTTGAGTTTTTGTAAGTTTCGCATGACACAATCTTAATAGGACTCTTACTCTCATTTATAAAATTCTCCTAGGAATCACATTCTTAAAGGCTAATACTCATTCTTTAACACCCTCTTCACTGCAAGCCAAGTAAGATGGCACAACTCTTTGCACGGTCTCCGGCCGAGCAGCCGAACTATTTTTGTTCTGTCTGCTTATGAATTGGCCAAGCAATGCATAGTGGCGCTGTGTAAGCCTTGCACGGTGCGCCACCATGCTAACGTTGTGCGGCTCTTCTCCTAGCTAGGTCAAACCTTTGACCACCACTAGGAAATAGCTCAAGTTTTCTCCAAGCACAGCTTAGCCCATCACGCTTCCCAAATCTTGAGCCCACTTCCACCTAGCTTGGCCTAATTCCCGTAGGAGTCTTACTTCATAGAACATTTATCCCCATTAAGGATATAGCTTATCCTCTATTTCATATTAGGATTAACTCTCAAGAGTCCAACCTTATCGAAACAAGTAGTCTAACATTATCTAGGACTCTAGTCCTCCATCGGAATATCTCGAATACATGTGTAGTCTGACCACACCTCGGCAAATAAAAACTACCCACGTGGCACCTTGGCTAACTACCTTGGTCACATGGACAACTCAAAATTATGTCCCCACAATTATGCATTGTAAAAAACTTTAAATTATTTTCGTTATAAACTGAACAATAAATATTTTTGTCACGAAACTTGTTCTTTATCCCTACAAGTGGTATGACAATTCCTACCAACATATAATCTCCTTACCAATTTAGATATGCTTTCAATTTTTTTTAGTTGTTCAGTTAATGCTGGGTTTAAGCTTTACAAGTTTTACAATTGCATTGACAAGGATGGATTACTGAGTTGTTATGGCAATGAGTAGGTATTCTTGGGATTTTTTGATCTTGCTTTTACTAAAATGTTTTGAAAAGGAAGCAACTTTTGACTAGAGGGATAGAGTTTTTTAAAGCAAAAGCAAAAGCCAAAACAAAAGCAAAAGCAAAGGACAAAGCAAATAAGAGATGGTACAAAAGAGTGAAGGGGTTGCAATTGTAGATAGCAAAGTATTAGTGAATAGTGACAATTAAAAAGCTCTGAAAAAATGAAAAGCTCATCAAATAATGGTGAAAGTGGGAGGCTATCATCCGAAAACGATGAAGAGTTGCCAAAAATGGCAATATCTTCATTTCAAGCTAGAGAAGAAGAGATTGAGAGGAAGAAGATGGAGGTTAGAGAGAGGGTTGAAATCCAGCTAGACCGCGCTGAGGAAGAAACCAGGCGCTTAGCACAAATTTTGGAAGTAAGTTCATGAATTTGAATTTCCAAAATATATATATATATATATCAAACTGATGATTATAGAACCCAACTTTGAGAGATAAAATCGTGAGAGTAAAAAATTCACCTCTCATTTCATTTTGGTTAAGAAAAAGTAGCTTGATATGCATTGTTGGGCTTGTTTCTTAACTTCTTAAATTTTTTGGACAACCTGTGATCTAACATAATTAATTTTTGAAGTCATCTGTTGAAAATTTTGTTGTACGTCATTAGGAGCTCGAGGTGTTGTCTGATCCCATGAGGAAAGAAGTTGGGATTGTTCGTAAAAGGATTGACATTGCGAACCGAGAGCTTAAGTCCCTCGGCCAGAGCAGCCAAAAGAAGGTAACATGATTGTCAAAAGCTTGTTTCCTGTTTTATGGAAAAAGAATACGAAAAATTGAACATTATTATATGAAACCTATTGTATTCTAATGTTTGTTAAGCTAGATGACCAGAACAACCATGATTGTCAAAACACTTTTTTTTTTTTTGCTTTTTTCTTTTTTTGAAGTGTCAAGTGTCAACTCTATTGATGCATGATCCCATGGCTGTTTTACTTTTTTTTTTTTGTTATTATTGATGCATCAAACTAAAAATGTTCATAGAATGTTACTTTTGACAAACAAAAATGAAATTTGATCAACAATGCGAACAATGTGTTCCAATTTGCAACAGGAGAAGGAATACAAAGAAGCATTGGATGCCTTCAATGAAAAGAGTAGGGAAAAAGATCAACTAACAACCACATTAGCAATGGTGAATCTCAAATCCAAATTTTTATTTTTTATTCCTCTGGAAAAAATGGAAGCATTTTAGCTTACACCTTTCTGTTATTTTGTTGGATAAATTACAAATACACCCTTGAGAATTGTTTGAAATACAAATTATCTCATGTAATTATGGAAATTATAAATACCTCGTTGTTAGAATTTGTCATCTAACAAAGTTAATAAAAAATATATATATATATCTTAACTATACCCTCCTATACAATAATAAAATGCCATGTTTGTTTTACTTTCTTTTTTTTTTTTTTTTTTTGTTATTATTGATGCATCAAACTAAAAATGTTCATAGAATGTTACTTTTGACAAATAAAAATGAAATTTGATCAACAATGCTAACAATGTGTTTCAATTTGCAACAGGAGAAGGAATACAAAGAAGCATTGGATGCCTTCAATGAAAAGAGTAGGGAAAAGGATCAACTAACAACCACATTAGCAATGGTGAATCTCAAATCCAATTCTTTATTTTTTATTTCTCTGGAAAAAAATGGAAGCATTTTAGCTTACACCTTTCTGTTATTTTGTTGGATAAATTACAAATACACTCTTGAGATTTGTTTAAAATACAAATTGTCTCATGTAATTATGGAAATTATAAATACCTCGTTGTTAGAATTTGTCATCTAACAAAGTTAATAAAAAATATATATATATATCTTAACTATACCCTCCTATACAATAATAAAATTACCAGAACTGTTAATTAAAATATATTTATGATATCATTAAAAAAAGTTTAATTAACTTAATGGTTGATTAATAACAGGTGTCACTTGTTATGTGATTAGAAATTTAAAGGGGCGGGATGTAATTTTAAGAATTACAGGAGGAAATTAAAATTTTAAGTAAATCGCAGGGGTATATTTGTAATTTGCCCTATTTTGTTTGAGGCTCCAATATTTATCCCTTTTTTTTTCTGCCCATGCTCTTGGCAACCACACAATTTTGCATTAAATATATTATGTTTCGTAGCCTTTTTTTATGCAGTTCCTAATTTTATTTTAATTTCTTCTTCTTCTTCTTCTTCTTCTTCTTCTTCTTCTTCTTATTATTATTATTATTATTATTATTATTTGATGTTTATGCCAGCTTGTGAATGAAAGTGAAAAATTGAGAATGAAGAAGCTGGAGCAGCTGAGCAAGATTATGGATCCAACAGACTGAAAAATTCTACTACTGAATGTTTTCCAGTTTAGTAATTTTTTTTATTTGTTTATTTTTGGCATGGAAGTTGTAGATGGAAATGTGATATAAATTACTTCAATTATGTTACGAATACAGAAACTAATAAGAAAATATAAATAAATTAACAAGATTTCATAAAATTCCAAAAAAATCAAATTTGTGATTGGTTTCTTTGTTTTTAGAGCCTTATTCTCAAATTTATCTTAAGAATTCAGCTCCTCTCCAATTGCCAATTGGAGAGGTGTTGTTGGACTTACTTTGGAGTCCATTTCAAATGATCTAAACCGTCATTTTGTGGGGCACGTCGAGAAGAGTATCCATGTAAACAATTAAGTTAATCGGATATCGATAACTAAATGATCAATTTACATTTGTCTTTCAAAAAAAATTGGACAATTTATTCTCAAAATTTTATTCACCTTCCAAATTTATAACTAAATGTAATTCGATCATTTAACAAAAATATTTTATGGGTTGAGGTTTTTTCGTCATTGACAAATGATGAAATCTACAAATTAATTGTCTTTAACAATGCATTGCTTTAATGAGTTTTAAAAAGATCATATGCTGTAGAATAAAGTTATACGCATCAATTAGTATGCTAATTAGTATATTAACGGATGATATGACATAGTTTTATAGGTTTTGGATCTTGTAGTTTGTATAATGGATAGGGTCTATTGTTTTGAAGTATCAATGTCATAACATATGTTGGTATACTAATTAGTATATCAATTGGTGCGTGTAACACTACTATATATTATCATGGCATACATTTTATCACGAGTAAAAACAATTAGGGAGCTTTCCATCAACGGGCTTACTTTCTAGCCCCTATCTAGGCACCTCCCCATCTCCACTGTACCAATCCATTGTCATCTAAAAAATTTAAAATTTCTGAGATATTGATTCGTGATTGTGTTTCAATTTAAAATAGTGAATACCAATCCCAATCAAACAATCAATAACAAATCGACAAAGCGATTTAACGTGGAAAAAATCACAACCGGGGTGCCTCCAATTATGATAAAAAATCATGGGCCAAAACCACAAAATAACCCACTAAGAAGATAAAAAGTAATTACACAAGTATACCCTTAATTACCTAGTGAATCTATGCCTGAATTGAACCAATCCCAATGTGCCTCTTCCACCACCATTTTCACCTCGGAATTGTCTTACCCAACGTTGAATCTACAACGCTAGTGTTGAATCCACGACGATGAGCCACTCCGGAATCCACCAAAATATCAAACCTAAGTTTCCTAAAATCCACCAAAGAACACCTCGCTTTTGTGAATATAAGAACAAAGAAAAGCCCCTTGATTATACCAATATGAATCTCGTAGATCCACTAATTGCTCTCAAATCATCAGGGAAACACTTATAGAAATACCCTCCAACATAGAAACCCTTGGTAGCTTTACTCTCCCAAAATTTGGATGGCTTAAAGCCTAAAAACAAGAAACAATGCACTTTATAATAAACAAATTCGCGAAGACCGCTCGAGCGCACACTTCACCAAGAGCGGTGTGAGTAAAGGTGATGCAAAACATGTAGGCCGACTACTCGAGTGCACATTTCACTGCTCGAACGATAAAAATTGTTTCCTGGAAGTTCAGTTTGCAGGCAGAGATACTAGATGCTCACATTCTCTACTCAAGCGCACAAGTTACCGCTCAAGAGGTCAAACAATTTGATAGTCAACAAAGTGGCAAACACAAGCACAATTTGGGTTAGATTCACATCTAAACACTTATAGCCTCACTTAAACAAAAGAGCAAATAAAATTACAACTGAAAGGAGTTTTGTCAAAAGGGATTGCCAACTACAAATACCTAACAATTTCCACCTTTGCCAATTCCATGACAAAACACACCTAACAAATAAAATCTTAATCACCCGAACCCATTACAACCAACCATGATAACTTTCTCAAGGTCAACATCTGCAAAACAACTATTACTAACACAAGAGTGTATGAAAGTAATAGACATATGACAAGATTATCTTGAAACATGAATAGATGAACATGCTGATGAACTCAAAAACTCTCTCTCAAAATTCTCCCTCTTTTTATCATGAATTTTCAAAGGAAGCTCAATCAATTAAAGCATGAGCATAAACCACACAAGCAAGAACAGAATGACGTAATAATCAATAGCATGCGAGAAACAAGTAATAAATAAGCAATGCATAGCAACATGCAAACCAACTAACACCAATCTCCCTTACAAAACCAATCAATGTAGGTCCATGTTAAAATAAACCCCCCCAACTAAAAGCATCCAAAAGCACCAAAAACAATGAGCAAAAAGGAAAAGACAAAAATAATATGGTGGAGCAAGCAAGGAATTTCAAATTTATACCTTAAAACACACAAGAATATCCAAGAAACATAATTACTTGAAAACACAATGTGCACAACCTCTAGAAGATTCCTCATGTAAGAATGTGATGTAACCTGTGAAAAGCATAGACCTTGTTATAAAAGGGTATGTGTGGCTCTTGGAGTTCAACAAACTCTAGATTCAAATCCTAGTAGTCATCTAATGACTGGACCTCCGGCAAGAGAATATACGAATGGCTAAGAAAAGTCAAACCACTAGTGATCAATGGATTTATTGAGTAAATGCGAATGCTCCCCCTCAAACAATGTATACAATTTTCTTGTGCACTCTTCCGAATGCTCAAGTGTATGGAAACCAAACCAAAGAAGAATAGAAAGGATAGTGAAGCTTGGTTGGTGACTTTGAGGTAGCCTTTTCCTCATGCCATAAGAGACAAATACAAAGGGGTAAGCAATGGAGATGCAAATAGATGGCAGGGGGTTAAGAGACTCAATATCATCCAAGATATACTAGCATTGGTCAATTTCTCAAGAAAAACACATCAAACTCTGCTAGTGGTCCATAAAGAATTTTGATCACTTATGCGGAAGAGTCCGATATTTGCTAATCCAAGAGTGCATATAAAATGAGACACATTGATCAAAGTACACACAGTCCGAAATAAGTAATGACCGTAGATAGCTCACATACATTAACAAGTAATGGACATTCTCATCAATTTCAATATGCACCAAGAACTTCTAAAAAATTTCAAGCTTGCAAAACCATACTAAGAAAAAAAAATTTGCATATTTTTTTATAAACAAAGCAAGAAAGAAAATGAACAAGCACACACAAACGACCTAGAAAGAAGAACAAACAAAAATAGAGAAGGAAAAAAACATTAAAAAAAAGTTAACAAACAAATTAACCCAAGTCAAACTTTCTCACCCAAACCGCTTTAGTATGAACAATGTTGTGAGTATTGCAGCTCTTGGGTGATGTTTTCACGTTGTTGTTCCCTTTTCTTTCAATGGGAATCCGTCTCAACTTGGTTTCCAACCTCCTATTCCAAGGTCTAGGCAAATGCAAACTCGCTTCATGTTTGGTCTCAAGCAAATCAAAACAGTAAGGTCTAATTTGACCTTTAGCCTCACTACAACCAATGAAATGTCTCCTACCCCACGAGGTATTAGAATTTCTTCTACCTCTATGAGACACTCTCCCATACAACTCATAGCAATAAGGGCGAATATGACCATAAATACCATAATGATAACAAATAAAAGGTGTACCACTTTTCTTTGATCTTACCAACTTCAGGAAGATTGAGAAGTCCATCCTCATGTTGAATCTTTTGTTCCCAATTCCTTATGTTCTTGTATCATGAGATGTGGATGCACTTCATTTTTGCTCTTTGTCACCACCAAAGCCAATGTCACTCTTGTCATAACTCATTTGCTAAGACCCAATGATATTGTCCAAAGTCTTTGATTTTTTATTCCAAAGACCAATGGTAGCCATAGCACGCTTGAGCTATTCCTCTTTCTTGATGACTAGTTCTTCTAAAGCAACTTAAGACATCTTGAGAGTTTCAATCTTTTCTTCATGTGTTGCATAAATGTTATGTAGCTCATTCCTCTTTGTCTCACAACTCAAGAGTTTTGCACAAAAAGCTTGTTGATCATTACAGATCTTGATGGCATCATTCCTACCCTCGAAAATCTCCTCCTTTAGTTTGACATTCTCACTTTCACAAGCTTTGAGTTTGATAGTGAGCTTGTCATTCAATTTAGGTAAGTGAAGAGATTACTTGTACAACTTTTCATAAGCTTGTTGAAGTTCTTCAACATCTATATGATCATCACTTCCTAAGGATTAATCATTAGTGACATTCTCAACCAGCCTCTTTGGATTTTCCATTTGTCCTTCAGTTCTGGAAACCACCATGAAAGCAAGAAATTGTTCATGCCCCACTTCGCCTTGAGCCTCGTTGCCACTCTCATCCTTATCAGACTCTTATACATCATCCCAAGTGATCGCGAAGGCTCTCTTCTTCATCAATTGATTAGCACATTCTTGAGAAAAATGGTCAAATCCTTGGCATTCATAGCATTGGACTTTTTGAGAGTTCCCTTTTATTTTTCTTTTCTTCTTCTTAGTTATAAAATCAATTTTGAGCTTATCTCTGCCTTTGGATTTATGAGTTGATTCAAAAAAATTAAGCTTCTTTTTCAGAAAAAAAAAGAACTTTTTAAATTATTTTACAAAAGTGTCAGTAATCTTGGAATCAACCTCACAATCCTCATCAGAATTTTTTCCAACTCTATGAGCACCACTAAAAGCAATATCATATTTTTGTTTCTTTTTGAAATTCATATATGCCTCACAGGTTCTGAGATTTCCAACTAAATGGCCTAACCTAAGGTTATCAACATCTTATGCCTCCTCAATAGCCATAACTTTTGGTAATCAATCGAGTAAGGATCTCAAAAAATTTCCCACAATCTTGGATTTCAGAAATTTTTTCACCTAAATTGAAGTTGGAATTTACAATGTGTAACATGCCCGAGGGGTACTCGTGCGCGTTAAACAGTTCAGACCCTCGATTTCTTTGATCTAGTCTCACGAGTGCAATGTGAAACATACATGAGAGTCCACATTTGGCAACTTTTAGAAAATCCGTTTTATTGTAAAAACTATTTTCCAGAAATGGACTGCTTCATCAGATCTCAGAGTCGCCATCTAATATTTATTTTGGAAAAATTAGGAAGCCCGTGACTCGTGCCAAGGCCACTGTTCGTCGTAAT